TTAAAGGGATTGGCTGTCCTTTTCTCCCCAACACAGCCAAATTTTTTGAAAATAATATGACCTCTTTTTCCTTGATCTTCTAAATCTCAAACAAATTGAGACTTGTTTCCATTACATCAGAGAAAGAGAGAGCTTTCACTAACATAATGTAGCCAATATTGCAAAATCCAGTGGCTTTCAGTCTTCCATCTTCCGTTCAGTTTGTGTCTATTGACCATGATCTCTTTCTTAAATAGCTCTCATTTCTTGGCTGTTGTGGACATTCCTCCAGTTTTCCTTCTACTTCTCTGTCCAAAGAAGAATGGTCTCTGTCTGGTCATTGCGTTTTAGAGTTACTCAAACTTGATCTTAGGCTTTTATTCTCACTTTTATACTTCCTATTGTTTTTAAGATTTTATTTTTAAGTAATCTTGATACCCATTGTTGGGCTCAAACCCACATCCCCGAGATCAAGAGTCTCATGCTCCACCAACTGAGCCAGCCAGGCACCCCTCCGTCCACGTAGGCTTTTTTGATCCACCCTTGGCTTCAGCTCGCACCTATATGCAAGTCTTACAAACAGCTCCAAATCCTTATATGTAACTCCAAGCTTAACACAACCACTTGAGACACAAACTGAATTATGTTTAAAACCAAACTCATGATATCCCCCGTGAACCCTGTTTAGGTAGTAACCCTCCTACCTCCTTAGTGTTTACAGTCTCAGGGGATGGCACCACCTTGCACTCAGGTACACAAGAGAACCAGCAGTCATTCTTTACAACTTTTCCCTGTATAGCCACATATTACTTTTTGATTTTGCTTTTTTCAAAATGCAAATCTGAACATCTCTCCCCTTGTGTAAAACCCTTCAGGGCCTCTCTCCCATCCTAATCAAGACTAGAAGCCTTAATATGATTAACAAGGTGTTACAGGGACTGGCCTCTGCCTCCCTTTCTAGCCTTGCCTCATGACACTCCCCCTTGCTTTAAGGCATCTCGCCACATTGGTCTTTTTCATTTAAGTGGCCTATGCTTCCTACTGTTATAGACCTCTGCATAATTCGCACTTCCAACCCACCCTCCATCCTCTCTCACTCCATTGTTTCATGACATCTGCTTGCATTTTCAAGCATTACTTCCTCAGGGACTATGCAGTCCAAACCAAAACCCAAAACCAGTACTTCAGTTTGTTAGTACATAGCTATGTCCTTTATGATTTGGATTAATGTCTGTCTCTATCACTTAACCATAATTCCATGACAGCAAGACAGGGTTTCTCCAGCACTCATTTGCTTAGTAAAGACTCAAATGTTTGCTGAATAAATTATTTAGGATTATCATTTCAAATGTACATGTAATATGCACTATAGCCACTAGAGGCTGCCTTGCTTCTCTTTTTATTCCTCCAGAAAACAGGAACTATGAAGATTCAGGATACTTAAAAAAACAAAACAAAATAAAACAAAACACCAAACTTTTATGCTTAAGTCACTTACTATACATAAAATGGCAGTGATTCCAAAATATCATCCTTTACATACTACCTATTTTATTATTGCCCAGCACATGTATATTAAATAACATTACTACCTAATATTTCTCTTTAAAGAGAATAACATTTTATTCAGATTTATTGAAAAAGAAAACTCTGTCATCGTTGAATCATTTGGAAACCTCTCAAAATAAATGAATAACTACAAAAAATTTTTAAACACCTACATATCCATGTTCCAATAAAAGTGATTTAGCTTATTCCTGTGGAATATTTACCATGCATTGAAAAACCATTAAAAAACATTTCATTGCTAAGATACAAGCTTAGATGACTGTCCTCATTATTCAGTGAAACTTTAGCCATAAAGACCTACACTAATGCAAATTTTGCTAAGTAGAAAATTCCCAACCACATTCATAATAAATTATCATAAGTAGCAATCAGCAATTATTAATATTCTGGTTTGTGCCACTTCTTAAACATTTTTATTGATAATTAAACCTTTGTGTATTGCGGAAAAGAAAAGTACTTACTGAGAAGATGGCCAGTTGATGTGTTGTGGTCTTGAAAGGTCATATAAACAAGTCCATGATTACAGGTTGTGAAGAAGAATCAGGAAACTACAGATTTGTATAGGAAGTCAATCATGGAAGCAATTCTACATCCAACTTCTTACAGCTCTCTGAGAAGACATATTTTAAATCTGTTTTCAAGTTACATTTTGGAAATCAGACCCTAAATTAAAGATATTCCCTTTGCACCCTACTGACTTGTTTTTTTTCCAGCTTTAGCTACTAAATGGTTGATATTTGTTTTATTTTTTAAAACCTCTCAAATATATACTAATATTGCACTAATTGAAAGCTGACTATAGTAACAACATTTATGGTGTACTAGGTACCAAGCACTGTGACAAGCACATTCCTAATTGTGTACTTTCATTACCCCCTTGACAGATAGATGTTAAGGGAGACTGAGAGAAGTTAAGTAATTTTTTTAAGGTCTCGCAGCAAATAATAGGTAGAACTGGGATCTAAACTCTGGGCTCTCCTACGTAATAAGCAAAAGCCTCTTCAGGGACCCTAAGTGCAGGAGATTGAAAAAATTCCATTACAGGGATGGAAATACTGTATGTAAATAATCCATTTCCAATCATGCCCTTTCCATGCCAATCACTAGTCCCTCCCATTCCTCCATTCCAGAAATTGATTCCCTTTCAATCTCTCTGGAAAATTCAATTACAGTAAATATCAGCAATACTTTGTGCTAATAAATAGTAACAGGATACAGCATTAGCTATTTTGATACTATTTTCCTAAGATCGGGATCTTTTTTTCATATTTTTCTACAATGTATAGCACAGAAAAA